CTCGGATCCAATGTGACCCCCTCCTACTACAAGGAATCATGAGAAGGCATCATGAGTTGGACAAGAGAAGGGGCAGAACTGTGAGGAAAAGTAGATCAGAGAAAGAAAGAGATGTACCTGCGGGTTTCATTCATCAACGACAAAGGGGTGTGGAGCTAGGGTCCCTCACCATCGGATGCAGGCACACCCCTTCGGAGAGGAGACACGCGGTCGGCATATGCCTCCCCGCCGCGCACAACAGGGCCACCTCCCTCGCCCATGTCCGCACCGACGCCTACGCGGCGCTCGCCGACTGCGCCGTCCCTGGAGGGACTTCCCCTTCGCGGGGCACCCCTTCCTCGGCGGAGGCGGCAGTGCGTGGAGGAGGGTTGGGGGGACGGCGGACCGGGCGGCGCGCTGGCGGCCCTGACGGCTCGTCTGGGCGCGGCACGTTGCGGACGGGGCGGGGAGGGGCCGGACCGGGCGGCTGGAGAGTGGGCGTGGCGGTCCGGCGGCATGCAGACGGAGGCGGCGGTGGCTGCCGGGGAGTTTGTGGGGGGAAGAGGTCGGGCAGGGGCCAAACTGCCCGAGGGCGTGGTCGCGGGAGGGCGCTTTTTTTGACCGGACGTGTTTGAGGATTGTAACCTAATGGCATTGTGGGTAATTAAAGCATAAAACATGTTTGGTCTTTTAAAGCGATGTAGACCATCAGATTGCAGGTTTGAATGGATAGGATGATTTGGTGATTTGGTTCTATAAGAAAGAGAGGGCGGAGAACCAAATCATCCTATCCATTCAAACCTTAAGAAAGAGAGGGCGGAGAACCAAATCATCCTATCCATTCAAACCTGCAATCTGATGGTCTAATGAGAGATATTTCTCCTTTTGATATAAGGAGGCTCCACTAATAATGTCCCATGCGTGCGGAGGCCTCGACCTCCTTCTTCCTCCTCGCCTTCATTTTCTTCTCAAATCTCTTATAGACCTCTAGTTGCCTCTTCGTCTTTGCTGCCACGCGACTAACAATACAACTGAGCCGCGTCTTGTCGTGTTGTGCTCCTTCAACTTGGAGACCCACCTTCATCTTGGAAGCCGTCAGCATCATGGTTTTTTGTGGCGCTGCCTAAGCGACTAATGAGACCTGGACCGTCCTTGGTGATGGCATGCCGCGACCCCTTTCCCACTAACTCACCTCCACCCTTGCAATGAACCTCGCCGTAGGGGTGAGGCCACCCGCAGAATGGATGCGAGGACTGGTATGATAGGTGGAGCTCGACGGTGTGGGGAGCCGCAAGAGGTTTATCGACAGCGTGTCGTCCGTGCGAGAACAATGACATCAGGTGGACATCAACTTGCCACGGTATGATATCACCATGCGACCGGTGGGTGCCATGGAGTCTTCGTTGGTGGCGCAGTCGCGCAGCCTTGGGCAGGCGGCTATAGCGTGCCACCGCCGCTACATCCCCTCGGAGGCGCACGGCTTGGTGACCTTGGTGACGCAGTCTCTCAGCACCAATAGGCCCCCATCTTTGGGTCCATGTGTCAAATGTTTTCATGACCTACTGGACAATCAGGTCAGAATCACCACACTAGATGATCCGCCAAATTCCCATGGAGGCCGTGATACAAAGCCCATGCAGGGGGCTTCATATTCAGCGATGTTGTTGGAGTCGGCGAACTTCATTTGCAAAACATAGTTTATTGTGTAGCCACTTGGGAGATAAGGACCACCCCAGCTCCTTGGCCATTTACGGACGTGGAGCCGTCAAATTACAACAACAAGTGCTCGAGGTCGATGTTGTGTGGAGGTGAATATGTATAGCAGCATTGGTTCGGCCTCCTCTAGCGATGCCAGTAGTGGGTTGGATTGCAACAGGAACTTGCCATTCTTGCGCAGGAGGCGCTATAGAGGGAGTGCTTTTCCCCCAAGCCAACAGATGAAACTGCTCAGGGATGCTATGCATCCCGCAAGTTTCTATACCTCTCATACTGTCTTGGGTGGTTCAAGCTTGATTATTGCCTTGATATTTTTCGTTTTAGCCTCGACGCCTCGTTTGAAGATAATGAGGTCGAGGAGCTTTCCCGAGGGGACCCCAAATACACACTTGTCTGGGGTTTAATTTCCTGTTGAAGTGGCGCAGGTTGAGAAGGTCTGCTCGAGGTCGGATAGTAAGTTGGCTTCACTTCTGGATTTGATGATGACATTGTCAACATATGCCTCAACATTGATGCGGATTTGTTTGTGCAGACATTTTTGCGTCATGCGTTGGTACGTTGCTCCGCTGTTCTTAAGCCCGAAGGGCATTGTTATGTAGCAAAATGACCCAAATTTTGCGATGAATGATGTTTTTTCTTGATCAGATTCTTCATCTTGATCTAATGGTAGCCAGAGTAAACATACATGAAGTAGAGCTGTGCATAGTGATGGTGTTCTGGATATGGGGGTGCTAATCACGTCGTCCCCCAAATAACCAAGAAGTGGGCCATATTTGACATACTCCAAGACACATTTGAATCATCGACATGTTTATCCCTTGATGTAACTGATCTGCATGTAACCCTAGGTACCCCCAGTGCCTATATAAGCCGAGGGGCTTAGACCTTAGGGTTAGCTTCAATCACTTACGATCTCGAGGTAGATCATCATGTACTTTGTACTCCATCCGCAATCAATACAACAGAAGCAAGACATAGGGTTTTACCTCTTCGAGAGGGCCCAAACATGGCTAAAACATCGTGTCCCTATTTGTCCTATTACCATCTAGCTAAGATCACCAACTCATGACCTCCTACCCAAGATCCGCAGGATTCAACCCCGACATTGGTGGCCCATACAGGTCTTGTTGCATGGTCAAAACGGCTCAATGGCTCACCTTCGGATCAACGACAACATCGACTGTCGGAAGACCTTTTTCCTTGGACAACTCTTTGTCTTCGGTGTCACGCTCGCTGATTCGACTGGCCACCTCGGCCAGACCAAGAACTTCCCTCCAGGACAGACCATCAGGTTTGGAAACCTAGAATATGCTGCGGATGTTGGTACGTCTCCAACATATCTATAATTTATGAAATATTCATGCCATGTTTACAACAATTCTGTATGGTTTTGGTACGATTTGAATGGAACTAACTGATATGTCTCCAATGTATCTATAATTTTTGATTGTTCCATGTTATTATATTATCATTCTTGGATGTTTTACAATCATTTTGTAGCAACTTTATATCATTTTTTGGGACTAACCTATTGACACAGTGCCCAATGCTAGTGCCAGTTGTTGTTTTTGCTTGTTTTTTACTTCGTAGAAAATCAATACCAAACGGAGTTCAAACGCAGCGAGACTTTTTGGAGAATTTTTCTGCGCCAGAAGACACATGATGGGCCAAAGAAGTACCAGAGGGGTGCCCCAAGGGGGGAACAACCCACCTGGGCGCGCTTGGGGGCCCATGCGCACCCTGGTTGGTTGTGCTCACCTCAGTGGCCTCCCGCACTGCCTCTTTGCTCCATAAATACCCAATATTCCAGAAACCCTAGGGAGTCGATGAAAAACAATTCCAGCCGCTGAAAGTTCCAGAAACCACAGATCCAATCTATACACCATCACGGAGAGGTTCATCATCCTCATTGGTGCCTCTCCGATGATGCGTGAGTAGTTCATTGTAGACCTACATGTCCATAGTTAGTAGCTAGATGGCTTCCTCTCTCTTTTGATTCTCAATGCAATGGTCTCTTGGAGATCTATTTGATGTAACTCTTTTTGCAGTGTGTTTGTTGGGATCCGATGAACTTTGAGTTTATGATCAGATCTATGTTTTTATCCAAGAAAGTTATTTGAGTCTTTTGATCTTATATGCATGATTACTTATAGCCTCGTATTTCTGTTGGGGAACGTAGTAATTTCAAAAAAAATCCTACGCACACGCAAGATCTATCATGGTGATGCATAGCAACGAGAGGGGAAGAGTGTTGTCCACGTACCCTCATAGACCGTAAGCGGAAGTGTTATGACAACACGATTGATGTAGTCGAACGTCTTCACGATCCGACCGATCCTAGCACCAAAAGTACGGCACCTCCGTGATCCGCACACGTTCGGCTTGGTGACGTCCCAAGAACTCTTGATCCAGCTGAGTGTCGAGGGAGAGCTTCGTCAGCACGACGACATGATGATGGTTATGATGAAGCTACCGGAACAGGGCTTCTCCTAAGCACTGCAACGATATGACCGAGGTGGATTATGATGTGGAGGGGGGCACCGCACACGGCTAAGACAACTGTCAACTTGTGTGTCTATGGGGTGCCCCCCTCCCCAGTATATAAAGGAGTGAAGGAGGGGGAGGGCCGACCCTCTATGGCGCAGCCTGGAGGAGTCCTACTCCCACCAGGAGTAGGATTCCCCCCTTCCCTAGTTGGACTAGGAGAGAAAGGAAGGGGAAGGAAAGGGGGGCCGGCATCCACCCAATTCGGACTGGGCTTGGGGGGGGGGCGCCCCCTCCTAGGCTCCCTTCTCCTCTCTCCCACTAAAGCCCAATAAGGCCCATATACTTCCCGGGGGGTTCCGGTAACCTCCCGGTACTCCGGTATATTCCCGTACTCACCCGGAACCATTTCGATGTCCAAACATAGGCTTTCAATATATCGATCTTTATGTCTCGACCATTTCGGGACTCCTCGTCATGCCTGTGATCACATCCGGGACTCCGAACAACCTTCGGTACATCAAAACACATAAACTCATAATACCGATCATCACCGAATGTTAAGCGTGCGGACCCTACGGGTTCGAGAACTATGTAGACATGACCAAGACTCATCTTCGGTCAATAACCAATAGCAGAACCTGGATGCTCATATTGGTTCCTACATATTCTACGAAGATCTTTATCGGTCAAACTGCATAACAACATACACCGTTCCCTTTGTCATCAGTATGTTACTTGCCTGAGATTCGATCGTGGGTATCTTAATACCTAGTTCAATCTCGTTACCGGCAAGTCTCTTTACTCGTTCCGTAATGCAACATCCCATAACTAACTCATTAGTCACATTGCTTGCAAGGCTTATAGTGATGTGCATTACCGAGAGGACCCAGAGATACCTCTCCGATACACGAAGTGACAAATCCTAATCTCGATCTATGCCAACTCAACAAACACCATTGGAGACACCTGGAGAGCATCTTTATAGTCACCGTTACGTTGTCACGTTTGATAGCACACTAAGTGTTCCTCTGGTATTCGGGAGTTGCATAATCTCATAGTCATAGGAACATGTATAAGT